GAGTTGAAAATATGAAATACCGCACATATAGTGATATTTACAGCTGAAAAATACATAAATAGTATAACATTATATTATTCAATATAAAATATAACCCTTTCAAATCAACTTTGGAAGGTTATTTACAGGGTGTTCTTTCAGTTTTTTGATTTCATAGTACATGACAACTGTATCTGTCATTTGCCAACTTTTTAAATGATATATTCAACATATATATCAATTCTATCATTAATTTATATACATACATACATAACGTAACGTAACGTAATGTAACATAGCATATCATAACTTAACATAATATAAGGTGGTCAATTAAATATGAACTAACTCGTACTAGTATGAATGAAAATATTGATTTATATACATTTTCTTCATATTTTAGATCCTTCATTTTCTCAATACCTGAAATTAATCGATGAAGATCAATCAATATTGGTCAACAAAAACATGCGATTGACAGATGAGAAGGATATAACAAATGCCGCTAATGCAATACACAGTTTATATACGAACGGCCGATTCGAGGATCATCCTGGAGCTGCTATCAGAGTAAGTACTACTTCATTGACGGAGGATACTCTACTAGGTACATCGCGCTGTGTAGGATAGCGAAGAAACATTAAACGTTATTTTAGATAAATACGTACAGTATGTAGGTACGTCGACATTTTGGTTCCAGAGTTACTGTCGTATTTGATGGCTATAATGATTGCACGAGAAATACTAACAGAACAACGTCGTCGAACTTTAGCAACATCTACATCATTTGATATTTTATTTGATGAAAATGACATTTCCAATAAGTAAACAAAAATTTCTTACAAATACAACAAGTCTCGGTTCATTTCAATATTGAAAGAAAAATTTACTGCTGAAAATATATTGGTAAAATAAGCTAATAATGATGCTGATGTATTGATAATTGAAACGGCAATAGAGCAATTCAATTTGACAAATACAACTATTGTTATTGGTGAAGATGTAGACTTACTCGTATTACTCAGTGCTCGAACTCCAACTGAAAAAACTTCTACTTCTTCATAAACCCAGAAAAAGCTCAACATCAATCGGAAATATATTCATCAAAAAGTTTATCTACTTTTTTACACGCAATAACTGGCTGTGATACGACATCTGCAGTTTACAAGAGGGGTAAAATAACAGTTTTCTTAAACAGGATCACAACTGATCCGTGGAATAGGCCTACTGGGGAAACCACGTTAAAAAAACACGCTAACCTCGGTCGGTAGCCAGGCGGTTCGACGTGGGTGCTTTGTTCACTCACTCGAATTAACTGCCGCGTTGGTCGGTGGTTCAAGCCCTAGTCTGAACGATCGATTTTCACTTGCTATCGTCCAACCCGTGTTAGGAATCACACGTTGAAAGATAAGACCTCGTTAATCCTTATCTTAAGTATTTTTATGATAAAACCTACCGTTTTGCTGAAAATCGCGAAACTCATTTTTTTTACTTTTGACATTGAATAATTTTTTTTTCCATACAGGTACGCGCATCGTCAGCAACTTCTCTAATAGTAGTTTGACGATTCTCCATAACAATTTTCTTCACTTTCTCACTTTTGTGACTCAGAGTACAATCACCGTATGCCACTGTCAACATTCAAGTGTTTTGGACACTCAATTATATTTTTCTCACAAAATTTGATTCAAATTCCTCAATAGTAGAAAATTACCAAACACGCAATACACTCTTCTAACTTGGACGTCTCTCACCAACAAACAAATTATGCTAAATAGCTGAAACTGTGAAAATATGTTCGAGACGAGTGTAACAACAAAAAAAATTGCTAATCGAATGAACGAAATTTGAACCTCACCTCATTTTTTAAACAGACCACTATACCACTTCAATAAATAATCATGAACGTCATAGAACATTGAGATGGACGAACCCAAAAATTACATCAGCATACTTTTGTTAACCCACCAATAACATCTCTTCTTTGGAAAAAAACGGACTCGGACAGACAATAATATAAGCAAATTTAATGAGTTATTGCCCAAAACGTTATATTGGCCAAACGTGAAGAATTTTTGATAATAGAATAAAAGAACAGAGAAATAGTTCCCTGAATGTGAAGACAAGTTACACATTTGAGAACCATCTTTTGACAGAGGTGCATGAGTTCAAAGACGACTATGAAGGATTACGTTTAGAAGAGAGAAGTTTGAAACTCAAATCTTTTGGAGTGCTTAGAAATTATTAGATTTGAGAATTCTGGAAATTCACCGAATGACCAAATAGAATTGAATGTTTCTAACTTCTTCTGAATTTGTTTTCTAGTGTAAAAATTTGTAGTTATATATTACTTGTTCATTTGACTGGTTGGAAAAATTTTGATGATGTTTAAATTTTTAATTAGTTTTTACCACAACCCAGGTAGGTATAATTATTAGTCATCAAGTTAGAAGAAGTATATATGATTCAAATTGTAATCATATAAAGCGCATATTGTATATTCCCATTCAAGAATTGGAACATTTGATATTGATAGGGCCCTTTAGGTAAAAGCCCTATTGAATTTAGTCACAAAATTAGAGATATTCTCACCAAAAAGAAGTAAAGATCTGGGCATGTTTATGAATTTCATCTGTAATTTTTTAGCTTTTTTATGAAATTTGAAAGAGGGTCAACAAATGTTGGGATTTAGCTATTCATTCATGAATATATCTACAATAAAATCTCATATTTTGCTTTGAAATTCAGTTAGCTCATTTAGAAATCTCAACGTCAACCATTTGAACAGCATCGAGACCTATTCAATTAGACAAATGTATCCCAAATAATGATTTACATAACATCATGAAAAGCAATATGGTTAGTAGAAACATAGTGGAACTATTTTAATGTTTCCCCATGTCCTACAAGTCCAGTATTTGTTAGATAACCTTAAGCAGAAAAAAAACGCCGAGCCCTATTTCAACCATGTTTCAGACAGTGAATGAAATTATTGCTTCAAAAAAATTCAAATTTTTAGTAATTTCTTTCCAATCTTCAGGTAGAAATATCAATGTGAATATTGGGAATGAATATTAAAGTATGTAAGCTTATATATTTTTGGAAATACGAAAAAGTCACACGGAGCCATGTTTGGCAAATACGAAGGCAGGGGCATCGTTATAGTATTGTATTTGATCAGAAATTCACAAACAATCAATTAAGTGTGAGCAGGTGCATTATCGTGGTGCAAAAGCCGTGAATTGTTTTTTCATAAACCCGGGCGTTTTTTTGGAATGCTTTACGCCAACTATCAGATGTTCATAACCATTTCTTGCACTTTGTCCACGTTTTCATTGGTTGTTGATGTTCTTGGATGTCCGGGGCGTTCGTCATCGTCAACGTCTTCACGGGCATTTTAGAAATACCTGTACCACATGTAAACTCCTGTTTTACTCCTAGGTGACTCACCATAAGCCTTTGTTAACATTTCACACATTTGTTACTGTTTGTGTCATTTTTTTCGCAAAATTTGATATACATTCTAACAATCGAAAATCGCCGAGCTCTTGACACATCTAACCTTAGCTGCTAAGGCTTAGCAGCTCCCACAGACAAAGCAAACAATGAATACAGCTGAACATTTCATTATGAACTTCAAAAATTCTTGTTATTTCATAAACATACCTCGTAGAGTTGAGAGTAAGTATTTCCATGTAATCAAGCTCCACGTCTGTATGGAAAAATATAATGAAATAGCAGACTGTGAATACCACACAGAAAAAGTTTTGACTGCAACTTTTGAGGCACCAATTATTTACTTTTGATGAAGAAAGCTGACGTCTTTTCAATTTTTTTTTTTTTATTAACCACACAGGGTTAATCGAAATAATATCATAATAGCTATTTTGTTAAGGTTATATATTAAAAATGTTGAAACAATAAATAAAAAACAGCCAGAGGTTGCCAATAAAATATAAAGAACAAAAATATACTAGGTCAGTAGCATCTAAATAAAAAATTCTAACAGAATTTACTTCAGACCTTAGCAAAACATTTTCATTTAAGGTAAGAATGGTCACTGGGTTATTTGAGCTTAATACAAAATTAAAGAAATGAAGATCTAGACCCTAACACTTGAGATTACAAAGTTAATAAGCTTCAAATCCAAGTTGCTTTTTTTATTTTGCTGATGTGAACAGTTGTTCCCGCCAAAACTGTCGAGATGTTTCATATCACAGAACACAATATTCTTTCATGATAGTAACCAATGTCAAATATCAATTACACCAATATAAAAACACACTGAAAAGCAATTAGTACAATTGGCTAAAATATGTATAAATGTACTCAAAGAAATGATTGAGTTGGTTGTTATATTCCAACCTGTTGAAGCTGCATGAAATTAACAGTAAAATATAAAACAACATTGGTATAAGCTAAACAAAGGCACTATTTTTTCTGAAATCCAGATTCATTCTCTCCGGACTTTCCAGTTCCCTCAGAGAAGAACAAACCTTGACTCCTGGGGTGCAGGTGTAGGCAGAACGCGAAAGACGGGTGCTTCTGCGTACAGGGGTAGCCACCAGCTTGGGTTCTGTGTCATTCCTGGAATTCCTTGATTAACATTTCAGTACCAATACCACAATTTATACTTACTTTCTCAGTTTCTTCTCTTGAACAGCAAATTTAATGATAGAAGACTTAAAGACATTCCTAGCATCTTGTACAATTCTTGCTCTCTCCCTGGTAATTTTTTCGTTTTCCAAATTTTCTGTACTCAAGTTTAGAAGACTGAACTTTTGCAGGAGAATATCAAGAGATTTGTCAACTTCCTGAACCTACAGAATCACCCAAAAAATATATCAAAAATATGTTTCAACATTCAATAAATAAATAACATACCTCTGCCCCCTGTACAATTGCTGTTCTGTAACATTCAACTGCACTAGTAATGTTGCCTCTAGACTGTTCGATAGAAGCCCGACATTCCCAATATTCTGGTTCCTCTTGTAGTTTACTATATTTCTTTTTGATAACTTCAAGCCAACCTTCACATTGATTAACTGGGTAACCCTATGAAGATAAAATGAAAAAATTACTGGCGTTTCTCGAACATTTATGCTAAGAATACATTGAAGTGTAAGATCTTGTTATTAACTCCCCCAAGTTTTGACGTCTAAGGGTTGTCATCTGCAGGTTAATGGAAAAACAATTTTTTTAACTAATCCATTATTTTGATACGTTTTATTTTGACTGCAACTTTTGAGGCACCAATTATTTACTTCTGATGAAGAAAGCTGACATCTTTTCAATTTTTTTTTTACCCCCCGCTCAGATGCAACAATCCCATCTTCTGCTCATAGACCCCCACACTTTTTCTTAATTTAATGGTTTTATGAAAGTAGTTGTTTGGAGAGTACTTTTTCTTCCAGTTTGTGTATGAAAAATTCCGTAAAAATATACCCCTTTTCGCAGTAATTTCATTCTTAAATTCAAAAAAAGGTATTGGTTATGTGGTTTAAATTTCTTATTTCCAGAGAAAATCTGAAACGTGAATTCTGGATTCATTGGATTTTTACCACATTACGACTCATGAGAGTTGAACCATAAATACGATCACAATATGCTAATTTGGACATAATTCATAACCACAGACTTTTAGATTGATCTGTGGTAGATGTGACCTCATGATTAATCTCGATTTAGTTTTCTCGAACAATTGAAAGTCAATTCAAAATTATGGGCAAAAGATATATCAACTAGTGTTGATGTGTTGTTTTTTTGTTAGAGCCTAATGCACACGAATAATATTGAAGTTGATAAACATTTATGTGTCATCAGCATACTGATAGAGGATACAATCTTTCACATATTTGCCATAATCAGATATGTAGATTGTAAACAGTAATCCCTTGAGGGTTGATTTTTGGCCCATTCACGAGTTAATCGACTAGACTTTCAACTCCCACATTTCGAGTACAACCAGTAAAGTAACTCAATAAGAGAAAGTTGCTGTTGAATCATCAAACACATATAGCAAAAGCTTCTATCAGAAGAAGGTAATCTAATGTATCAAACGGTGTGCAGTAATCAAGTAAATTTTCTTGGATGACCTTGGTCAGTGGCAACAACAATATCATCAGTGATACTGAATCAGATATTTCATTTTTCAGTTATATCAAGTAGTTTGGAGTATGTAAATACTCATAGGGCTAAGATTACAAAAATCTACTGGTTTTCATACTTTGGGGTTAGCTAAAACTTCAACGATTTTCTAGGAGTCAGGAATTTTGATATACCATCTTACCCAATTACATTTGAATTTAATGAATTTAAACACTCCACCATATTAAATTATAATAATCTTTTGAAAATTCAAAAGCGTTATCATGACAAGCAAAATTATATTTCCGAAGTAAATTTGAAATAACTGGAATAAATTGCTAACAATGAGTATAATAATAGGGGAGCCCAAGCGGGGATTTCGGGATTTACTAAAGCACGGCAGATTAATATACAGGGGGATACTTTGTACCCGGTTAAGTACCTCCACCAAATATGAGCCCCATATATAAGGCCGGCTGTGAGGGATAAAGGATCAGATTAGTAAAAAAAATTGATCATCAGTAATTGTCGAGCCCGTCAGAGCAAGGTAGGGTGAGTTAATTACCTGCTAAAAAGTGTATATTCCAGTAATCTGACAATTTGAGAGTGACGTAAAGAAACGGAAGGGCAGCAAAGTTGTAAGAGTAAAAAAATAACGTCACTTCGACATTCTCAAGCGTAGCTAATTTTTTTTTATTTTGAAGGAAATAATTCAAGGATAACGAAAAATATATAATCTGACGATTTCCGCAAGCCGAAATAACAAAAATTCGTCAATGAAGTTTAATGTGTGCAGCTGTGTGATACCTATATATTTCCCTCTCCGAGTTTCTATTCCTCTATTCTCTATTCACTTTTTCTCTATCTATTACTCTCTCACTCCGTCCCCACTCTGAATTCTGTTGCCATGAAGCCACCACAGCTGATCACAGAGACTCGTTCGTGATGAAGATGATGAATAATTAATCAATTAATTGCTGTTTACACTTAACACCTCCTTAGAAAATCTGACGCGCTCGATTAATTTTTTTTTTCACTTTTAACCCTTACATACAACCACCCACATCATGCAAACGATCAGATTAACATACCAACATTATTAAAAATACGTAGGACATTGATGCTATCAATATCTGACGCGCTCAAGTATGTCCATGCAGCAGCATTTTGTTACATATTTAAAAATCTATAGCCGCTTCCCTCCACCGATGGAAAGGTATGTATTATATAACAATTTTTTCTTCTTATCATCTAAGCTTTGCAACCTAATATATCTCAATGACGCTCGAGTAAATCCCCATTTTGCATCGTGGGCTCTCCTGCTATAAGTTTCATGCCAGATTGTCACTAAATACCTTTCAATATTAGTTGTAGATTTTTTAAAATTTCTCAGGTATTGAAATAATCAACTTTGAAACCAATTCAAGTGATACATGTGTAATTTAAAAAAAACACAGTCAATTACAAACAATTGATTAAGAAAATTTACTTACTTCTCTTATCAAATGATTCAAATCTACCAATGCAGCCTTGGCCACATGCTCCAAGTTCTGGTTATCAGGCTTATTATTTTTGGCTCCATCATCCAAATCTTCAGATGGAACTATCATCAGATCTTCATAACTACCTTTGTTGGGAACATAATTATCTTCTATATTCTCCTTGTTTTCCTCCGTTATCACTGCTGGCGACTGGAAATGCTTCAAATGAGAAAACATGCTGATGCTCTTACCTCTCTTAACTAGCCAATCATTCAATCTCTTCTGAAGCTCTTCCAAAGATGGAAGATCATTCGAAGGATGATATATCGATCTGGAACAGAAAATTCATCATGTACAGAGATATTATCATTTGCTGACTACATTTCTGATTTCAAATTAAAAAAAACACTAGTGACAAGGGACTGATTATTTTACCTTATTCGTTATCTTGTTGCCTTTTATGTTTTTATATAATGGCATTATGATATTCATGAAATTCGACTTTTTTTACAATTCAAATTAATGATGAGACTATTTGTCAGTGGGTGTTTGAAAAACGGAAGTATGAGAAAAATGGAAATCACTTGTGAAGGTTGTTTGAAGAATTTTCATGATTTTAAGGAAGGCCTAATTTGAAAAGAATATATAGAATACTTCTTTCACCTTTTAATAATGAAACACCACCAGAACACAATCGGTTTGCATAATTTTGTCTTGATTATTTATCCTTCAGTGAATAATCTCGTTTAGGGCAACCAAATCAGTTGTAATTCCAAAAATAATGATGTTTTAAGCAATATCATTGAAGAAGATTGGCGGGTGACTTACTGTGAAAGCTTGTAAAAATAATTCTGATGATATAGTCATCAAAGTTATAACTTTCATAAGTTATTCAATTGTGAAACATTTTATATTCCATGAAAAATATTACTACAGATTTTCAATCATAATTGTGAAAGAGAGTTATTTCATATTCACAAAAATCTTACTGTAAACTCCATTATTAAATAATAATGGGACATCGAAGAATAAATTGGTTGAGTGGAGAACAACTCAGTAGCACTTGTGCTAACCCAGTTAGCAATTATTTAATTTAGTTAGACATAAGTAGAACCCCCTATTGGTGTAACACCCAAGTCAAATTGCCAAGTCTTTATGTCAGTGTTGGTGGTTTGACCAATCAACCGACAACTGCGGTAGCAGAAATTTGGGAAGCTAACCTGAAAGATCATCGGAAAACAAATCCACGTTTCTAGAAATAATATGAAATCGACAAAAGTTGATGCAGGCAAGCTGCTGGAAAATAATTCCATGAAAATCAAAAGATAAATAGATAAGTACTACTTTGATCACTCCCACATTGATTTCAATTTAAGAGCCACTGGTTTCATTTCATTTCTAGAAACATGTGGATTCGTTTTCCGATGACATTTCAGGTTAGCTTCCCGAATTTCTGCTACCGCAATTGTCGGTTGATTGGTCAAACCACTAACACTGACATAAAAACATGGCAATTTGACTTGGGTGTCACACCAATAGTTGGTTCTACTCATGTCTCGCTTGCGTTTACGAAGTTATTTTTATTAAGTACTTTTCTTGGTTATTCACATTTTGTCTTCAATCGAGGACCGCCTGCCCGGTACTGACGATGCCCAATAGGCTGAAACAGTTGTCTACCGGTATGTAGTCACTAGCACATCTTTGTCCACAATATTTTTCAGTTTACGCAGCAAATAGTTGGCTTGACAGTTTATTGCAAAAATGGTTTATGTGACTATTCCACTTTAAATCATCATCAAGAGGTATCCCCGGAAATTTAACAATGGATCCATGCGAAATGTTTTTATTAAAGGAGAATATGAAGTGCCGAATATGAAGTTTATGTATGGAACTTTTCCTGAACAAATTTTTCATCATAGCTTCACCAAAAAGGTGAAATATATTCTATATTTTTCTTAGGCGGATGAAAAAGAAATTGAATCAATCCTAATTTCTCAGAACTATATCAATTCTACTGGTAATATCGAAGATTTGAGAGTTTTAAGATTAGTCCAGTTCCTGCAACGATAGATATTGTCCGAAAAGTGGGAGTCCGCAATACCATCGATCATTATATTTTAACAAAGAAACTGTAATATTATGGGGGTAGAGGGATTTCCTATAAATAACTTGAATCAAATCTGTCAAAGCGTCTCCAAACAACATAGTGGAACAAATCAATCTCTTAGACAATTCTACTGATTCAATGAGTGCCCCAAGGTTCTATCATTAATACTAGATCTTATTAAAAATGTCACGTTTGTCATGGCAAGTGCATATACAGATGACACCTTATTCCAACAAAAGATGAAACTGAAAGTGATCTAACACAACTGGCAGAGTTACTTCTACCCAAAGCTTATAATTGATTCTCTGCAAATTTACTCCTGCTATATAATGAAATATTACAAACCCTAATCTTGATACACAAGAATAATACAAAAGAAAAATCACTAAAATTGCTTGGAATATACATGAACTCAAAACTACATTGGAAGGCATATAAAACAGCTTGAGTAAGAAACTGAATCAATAATATATAAGGAGAGTGAAAATAATTTCTACACTCTCAGCAGCTAAAATGCTTATTAAGCAAAGTATTTGTCCAGCAAAAACTAGCCATAAGAACTCTATGGAGACTTGGATATAGAGATAGTCACAAAGATGTGTTTTGTCAACAAGGAATACTAAAGATTCTGAGTGTGTGTATATGGTTTCCTATAGTTTGTTCACGCTAACCCAGAGAATTTCTCAAAAAATTAAATCATTTTTGGAGACATTGAATGCACAATACTTATCAGAATAGTCAAAAATAATAAGTCAATAAAGTCAATCGGAAATCATAAATATATGAGAGTGGAAGATTTATAATTCAACAAAATGAATTACATATATCTCTAGTGGGTATATATGTATGTAATATTTTTTTATATATTTATTTTATTATTTTGAGAAATATGTCTTGATTCCTTCAATTCAGGTGTATCTTTGGAAGATTTAAACATTTTTTTTATCAAGATGGAGAAGTAGAAGGCCAAAGACTTTCTTTCCCGAAAATAATGATTTTCTAATGTCTCATTTACAATGGTTTTTATCAAAGTTCACTTACCTTCTACTCAAGTTAGAAGACTGTGGAGTTAATCTAAATACACTACGCCTTTTATATGCAGAAGGAGTTTTGAAAGTTAAATTACCCTCCTGGCTAATTTCTGCTATGGGTGATATTGTATGTTTCAAAGTTCCTTGGTCTGGCATCCTCATATTCTCTAAAGATTGGGCTGGCTTTACATTTTTGTCACTTTCCTCAATTTGAGCTTTGCTCGCACCTTGAATAGTCAAAATTTGTTAAAATGATAAGTAAAAATGTACTTACTTTACACAAGTAATGACAAAACTCATTAGATAAATAATTAAATCTGGTAAAGCTGGTAGACTTTGAATAAACAATTAGGTGAAGTACTTCTAGGAAACAGGTGAAATATTGAGATATGTCAAAACTTAATTAGATAAATGATTAATTCTGGCAAAATAGGTGGATTTATAAATCACAATCAATACAATATTATTTCTAGGAAAACAGTCAAAATGTAAATATGTTAATTAATGACCTTTCAAGAGAACATTGATTTCCAGAGATACTAGCAGGTTTCATTGTCTGGAAATCAATATCAGGGTTAACAAATTCTTTAATAAACTGAAAATGGAAAAAACAAGCAGACTGATGTAAACAATATTGGTTGAAACTACGACCACCTCTAGAACACTGAACAAGAACAAATAAATGGGAAAGAAAGATGAACAGTGATTGCACATATGATATAAATAAAAGCAATAATGACAAAATATTCTACAAGAAAATCTTTTCACGAATTCGACCAATTTTCCAAAGTTGATGAATAGTCCCATGAAATAGAAAATACTAGATGCAATTTTTATGAAGATGAGTCAAGTTTTGCTCTGTTTCTCTTTGTATATTTGTTTAATTTTAGGCCGAAGGAAATTTTTGTGTCTGGTCAAACAAAGAAATTAAAATCAGAACATAACAGTTCTATTCATGCTTGATACAGAAATTAAATTTTGCTTCTTTGAAGTTTTGAAAGGAACAATAGATTAATCCATTGGTGGACTCATCCAAGACTGTATTTTGAGTGAACCAGAGACTAGATAGATAACATGATATGGTGTTTTAATTCCTCAATAATGACTTCAATCACTCTTTCAGAATTTCAAGGCCGGTAAGTCCTTTCTTCCAAAGTGATGATTATCAGTGTGAAGCACAAAGTTATTTAAATAAAAATTAATACACAATACAAATACAATTAGGAATAACAAGAACGTTTCTTTCTTAGGTTGTCAACACCACTTTGAATAAAACTATATAAAAGCAATCTTAATTTGGAGTCTTTTTCTTTACATAATTTATAAGGACAATTTTTTTCATTCAGATCAAGAACCAGTGCATTGTGCCATATTATGATATTTGATGGGTACAACCAACTGTTGTAGAGTTAACATCACCAGAAAAATCATAATTCATTATCATAAACTAAAGGTTAACAGAACCTAGAAAAAAGTTGAGGAATAAAAAATAAACTACATATTACTTTTTTTATGTCGTGTTGTTTCTTCTACTTTGATAGAGGTTCTTTTTAATTGGTTTTACCGTTGTGTGGGAACCACATGATGAACTTGCTATATATGGTTTTGTTAGCTGAGGAAATAACACAATGGGGAAAATAGGATTCAGCTTTCTGCTTCTCCATCAAACAAAAAATGTGGTAATCTCCCAATGAAAGGATGAAAGCAATTAATTTCAAAATGAACTCTATGCAAAGATTTGTTGTTCATAGGAGATTCTCACATTATTTTGTATGAAGATAGAGAAGTAGAAGGCCAAAACCTTTCTTTTCCAAAACTATACTTACCCCTTTCAATTTCAAACACAATTCTGATTGTTCAACATTACAAAAAGTGGTACCACTTTTTAAAGGAATATTTTTACATTTTTGTTTCTGCAGAACAAAAAGGTAATTCTTTTTCAAATAAAAAAAAACAACAAGAAATCTGATCAAAACTTTTTCAGATGTATCAATCATTCCTCTGGATAAACCTATAAATTAATTATTTTTGCCTTACCATTTTTGCGATCAAAATGCTGGGCAGAAAGGGATCTTCTGAGATGTTTCGGTCCCCCATTTGAAACTAGACTTTTGGACCTTCTCACACCTTGATTCATCACCTTCTGCTTAAGGTTTGAAGAGTTTTTGCTCATTTTACTCAGCGGATGTTTGATGACTTCTTTATTCATAGGATTTATCAAGGTTTTGGGCTGTGACATTTGTTTGGGTTCATTCTTTTGCGAACTATTAGTTTCAAGTATTGTTGAGGATAGAATTTGGTTGGTTGAATTGAAATCGACTGACGAGAGCCTTTCTGAGTTTAAGCTCATATGTTTAGCATTCGGATTTGGTTCGTTGCCAGCCAATTTTATAATGGTGCATGGTTTTGATCCAATGTTTAGTTTTGTATTTGCACTTGCAGTTACTTCGACATTTCTTCTGGGTGCATTATCGAGGTTATTTTGAGAATTTTTTTGACTCAAATGGCATGCACCAGGTAATGGAATACCTTCCATTTCGTATTTCAACAAAGGGTTGGCTTGTAACATTCTTTTCATGCTCGTTCGAGTTTGTTTAACCTCTGGGGCTTTTTTCTTAATAGAAGGCTTTCTATAGAAATGATACTTTTTCGAATTTTCACTCTTGTCTTTACTGCTGTCTTTACTTTCTGAAGACGTACTTGTCTGAATAACGTTCTTTTTATTTTCCATTTTGCTCTTTGTGATGTAATATTTCCCGAGTAATGAAACCACAATTATTATGCTAAACTGGACTAACTAGACTTTCAAAATCTCCACTTTCACGGTTAAAATTCAACATTCAAATTGACAAATTGAATCATCAAATCAACGGTCACAGTCACGTGATTTACGTCTTCTCCTTTCCTTTAACTTTTTTGGTCTTGGCTACTGGAGCTACCCGACTAGGATATGACAATTTCAATCTCTTGGGTAGGTTCCATTAGCGTCAAAAAATTGTAATATTTTTGATACTCGCCGGGAGTTAAATTAACTCTTTTTTGTCCAATAAATGATTTCATAAATGTTTTATGACATGATAAACTGAAAGTTAAAACTGAATCTCTGAAGTGGAATTAATCCAACATTTCTTTCGTACAAACACATACACAACAACCAGCAGAAGTAGAATTCATTGAATAGTCAACTTTCAGGACTTGAAAATATCAGTGTAAATATTAATTGTCCCCAATGGGGAATGTTCCTCAATTTGGGTTATTACAGCAAATGCAAGTTTGAACAAAATAAAGTTTAGTTTTTAAATAATTTTTTAAAGAAAAAGGTTGACATGATAAGTTCAAAATACGTTGTTTTAGAGCTCTTTTATGAAAACTACTTGATTTTCGTCAGGAGGAACATTCCCCATACCGAGTGAAAATAACTGTTATTAGAGAGATAATGTTCTGGACACTAAATTTTGAGTGCTACAAAAATGTGAGATCATAAATCAGATTAGATGATTTATTATTTTCTTCGTAAACTGTCACTTGTCCCCAATTATGACTAGCTATATTCAAACTTGAATTTTCAGTCCCAGTAAACTGTGACTTGTCCTCGTATTCGACCACGTCAAAAATGTTAATGAAAGAATGATACACTGAACTCTGAATTTTCAGTCCTACAAAATAATTGCATCATAGAATAAAACATCCCATCTTCGTCAGATTATTTATTTTTCTGTTCGTAAACTGCAACTTGTCCTCGATTGAGACTGAGTGGAAAATGTTGAAAGAAAAACGATGTATTCATCCCGGAGTTTCAAATTTGTATCTATCATATCTAATGATTGGAAAAATAAATTGAAAAGTGACGAACATTTATTCTTTCATATAGAATTTCAGCAGTTCAGCAGTTCAGTTCTTAGGAAATATTGTTGGGTATTGTTGCATAAACCCGCTATAAGAGTACGTTTATGTTGGATCAGAGATAAGCGACAAGAACAACGATGAGAACAAAACGATTGGAGCAAACCAATTCTTTGCTTTCATACGCTGTTCTCATCACTACATGGATGTAATGGAAAAAATAAATGTTGTTTCGCAATATATTGTAGCATTGAGAAATTGATTATTGTTAGTTAATGGTGAATTGTAAGTAGGTATATTCACTTGCTGCAAAATATAATGATATACAGAAGAGGTACATAAAAAAAAAGGGGGCCACCAAGAAATGTGCCACTAGATCAAATGACCTCTATGTAAGCTGAGGCAGCAAATATCAAGAATGTTTTCAAACAATTGATACGACAGTTTTATTTAAGCATAGTTATCAATTTCACCCCCACACTTTATTCAACAGTGAAGGCCTGGCAATAATTCCACCAATTAACTCTTTTATATCCATCCTCCATAAGAGATGAGAAAATTGGATTGTACCTAGATTATCGTCGCTCTTAAATCATTAATCATAGACCACTTATCGTTTAAAGTATTGCTTCAATGTAAACAGTTACATAAGAAACAATGTTTTTTCGCTAGTATATCGCTCTTACCATTTATCACGGTTCCAACATAAATGCTAGGCTTACATTACTTCATAATTTTTGAATACGTAGATTTTTATGTTGATTCTAAATATATTTCATACATTTTTCTATACACGAAATCCTTCTATACTTTTTGTAAAGAAGAGTGAACATTTCCAGAAAAAATCTGACATTTTCTCTTCAATAATTGAAAGATATACTCGTATATATTATTAGTATGTGTCAAACGGTTTCACGGCCATTTTTTCATAAAGGTCCACCCATTTTGGATACACGTCTCCCTTGGGATTCCTCATTATGGTTAAGGTTTCGTTAATATCCAAGTATTGAAAATCATGTGGCTTCACCTTTGGCCAAATGATGTTTTCGAAAAGAGGCTCACTTTTAGGTGTGGGGTTTCTGAAAAAAAAATACTTCAATAACAATGAAAAGTAGGTAATGTTGGCATTCAACGTTCAGTCAGACATAAACTCACAAATATTTAGCAAAATTCGTAAAGAGTGTTCTGAAACGATTGCTGGCAGTAATATCTTCAGCAGAGTATTTGTTGAGGAAGGTATGGTTCGAATATGCCCACAAATAGTGGTTATCTTCGGCATGACCAACTCTGTAGGCACCTGAAAAATCGAGATTCAATAATAATGATAATTATTTTTATAGGAACTTAGATTGTTAAGTATTCAACAAAGAGGAAACCAATCCAGCGGTGATCAGGAATAGATTCAAAATAATTATTGAAACACACCCAAATAGCTATAAAGTGTACACGGATCATTCACAAGTCAATACAATTTTTCTCGGGCAGTCAAGCGGCGTTGGAAGCTCTTGGCTCCTACAGAGCAACATCTGAATTGGTAGCAAATTACCAAAAACGACTCTCCTCAATAGGAAGACTTAACAAATTGTCTCTGGTCTGGATTCCTGGCCACATTGGCCTAGAAGGCAATGCAAAGGAGACTGCTGCAAATAGCTTCAAAGGACCAGAATTTGACATTAGCATCGCTTTAAGTTTTACAAAGAAACAAACATTGAACACCTGAATGGCAAGAAGATTTAAAGACTTCTGGCAAAATATTTCAGAATTGGCTTACTTCAAGGCGTTCATTCACCCTTCGAAGCTTGACACCAAACAGTTGTTGAACTACAGTAGGGATGAACTACGATGTCTAACAGACCTCCTCACAGGTAACTGTCGTCTGAATTATCATATGCAGAGACTCGGACTGTCGGAAGACAGTGTGTGTCACCTATGTTTAGAAGGAAAGAAAAAGAGTGCTGCGAGAACTTAAACCACCAATACTCAATGGAGTGGAGATCCCTCTGTCGCCACGGAAGTTAAATACTTATAGGTGTGACTTTCGATCACAGGCTCACGTGGAACCTCCACATCCGAAAAACAGTACATAAGGTGAAGATGACCCTGGGACTCTGCAGAAGAATGTGAACCCAAAAATGACACTCTGGTTACACAAGGGTAGTAAGACCCACGATAACATACGGTGTAGTGACTTTGTGGACAAGAACAAACCAATCGGGTACGGCTAGGCTATTAGGCAGCATACAAAGGCTGTCGTGCCTAAGTGTCGCGGGTGCCATGAGAATGACCCCAACTGCAGCACTTGAGGTCCTACTCGGACTTCCACCATTGCATACCTACATACAAAGAGAAGCTCGACTGGTGACACACAGGCTAACGCAGGGGCACACCCCAATCAGCCAGTTACACGGTGCAGAATACTTGAAACTGTACAATGAACTGAAGGCAGATCCAATACTAGGAATGCCCGTGGATAACACAGTTCCACAGTACAACTTTCAAAAAGATTTCTAAATCATCATACCAAGTAGAGAGGACTGGCAAAACGGCCCACCGGTAAAAGCGGAAGAGAAAAAGGTTGAAATGATAAGTTTAAAATGCGTTGTTTTAGAGTTCTTTTATGAAAATTACTTGATTTTCGTCAGGAGGAACATTCCCCATTGGTGTATATCAAAAACAAACAAATACCAAAATAGAACCCTGTGCAACTCCACAAAAAAACTCCTATTGTCGCCGATGAAAACATTTTTTTGTCTTCTTCTTTCAATTTAGAAACCAAGCGAAACTATTATCTCTAATACCTATATCATATAGATGTCTTAAAGTATTTGGTGATTGGCAGTATCAAAGTATCAAATGCGTGTTGAAAATCCAAAAGTAGCAAGAACACATTTTTATTCTTATTTAAATTCAATTGTATTTCTGTGACGAGATCTAAAGTTGCTACTTCCGTGTCTCCAAAATTTCAGAAGCCGTACTGATATTTTCATAATGAAGTTAAGTTTTCCCCGTAGATTTGATCAGAACTGAGGACACTGTACAATTGAACTCTAGTTCATTTCACTGCTATACTGACAATACAACATAAACACTTCAACTAAAATTTCGGACTAATACAAATGTCTATTGCCTTACTAGAACACTTCGTACCGAACTTCCAACTAAACTTCCCGATCTGCGTGTCGGTAGTATTTATATATCGTAATAGAAGTTTCTGGACGCCGAAAGGCAAGTCGCTGGAAGTCTCTCGACGCGACATCTAGAACGGTCGCGAAATGCAAGTCGAGTTGAATGCAACCTTGTCCAAATCACAAACGATTGACGAAGGTCAGTGGCAGCCAGAAATATTTTTTCAAGGGATGATTTACAACAATAGCTGGGATTTTTTAAGCAACTGCTGATTTGCTTTCCATTAATAGTTCTGATATTTCTCCATTACAAAAAACGTACGCAATTTTGAAGATAATACGTTGCTTTTTCAAAATATATAACACAGCATTCTTCCTCCCATTTGAAAAAAATGAGGGTAAATGCCTACCCCGCTGAGGGGTTGAAGTTACAATGATGAAATTGATGTGTAAATATATGGGCCACTCTGTATTTATTTCCTTAGATATATTGATTTAACAATGAAATAAGATAGAAAAATAGCCTGTTTTTACACTCAAATAATGCTTATAAACAAATACACATACATTACCTTCAAGATATGGTCTATTTCCACCCAGAGGTCCATGGTAAGAAAATTGATAAAAGTAGACGTCACTATAATTTGATTGCATTTCAGCATGGCGAATTACAGCTCGATTGAAAGACATGTCACTGAAATACTATAAAAACAATTTGTGAATTTCAATAGTGATAATAATTCAAATGAAATAAACGTTTGACAATGCATAAATACTTTAAATAATAGTTATTTTTCTACTTAGGCACTATCTGTTCGCCCTTTTTTATCTTTATAAGTCTATAATTCAAAGTATTACTGTTTTTCAAGCATGTAATTGGTAATCATTCAGACGATTTCTATGAAATAAAAATTGCAGTCTTTCGAAACCAAAACAACATCTACTAGTGGAATAGAAAATTCAAGATAATATACCTGCAATTAATATTACTAATTGCGTTACCGTCAATATACATTTTTGCAGTCATAATTAGCTATAAAGTTGTAAATTAAATCTGCATATTAATCGTGCAGATAACTCATTCCACACTCGTGTGAATGTGGCATTGGCCCTCGCTCGTACCACAATTTTCACACATCTGCATCGTGTGGAATAGGTAACTTTCTGAACTTGTTACACAATATACTATTATTGTACCAAAGGCGTAAACTCGATATTGTGAAACTGAAGTTTCGTCAAACGACGTGTGCACCAACCAGTGTTAATGCTATCTATCTGTTGAGAGCAACTTCAGTTTCATATTTTACTGAACCAGTTTCATGAAACAAGTTTCTCCGGTGTGCACGGTACCTTAGACAGGAGTTTTGAATTTATTGTTTTTTTCTACACTATTTTTGATAAATATTAGAGCCATAGACACAATCGGTAAAATCAAAATAGACAATACTAACGATTCACCCAGAAGTATTTTTATACCTGTCGTTGAAAAATGCCTGGCCCCGTATAATGTTCTCAGGGATAACTAAGATCTCTGAACAAGTTTATTTATGTGTTTTTCGAATCTTAAAGTACAGTATATCTCCACATCAAGGTTTTTTTGTGTGATCTATAAGAGCTAATTGGTCAATATCAATAGTAATGTTGATATCTTGAGAAAACGGTAAATTGTCTTTTGGATGAAATAATGATTTGATGCTTTTTGCATAGAGATGTGAAAATCTTCGTTAATGAAATTACAGGCCGTTATCACATTCCCTGGATAAAAACTGCAATAAATCGTCGTAAGAGCAGATAGCAGTGCAGTGTGGGACACCGGATTTGAGGTTTAGAGTTGTTGAACTGACATTGCCAATATACACCTTTTGTTTCCGTTCAAGTAAAAATGCTTCAAATAACTTAATTGTTGCTACTGATAAGCCTAAATAGGGCAGAATAGCCAAAATCAGTTGATAATTGATATTGTCAAATGCACGGTTGAAGTCCGAGAGCATTAACAGTGTACATTTTTCACGATCCCTCGATGTGATTATGTCATCGACAATTTGAAGGAGTGCTGTAGTACAGCTATACCCTTTTGATTGGGAGTACACTTATAGCGCGGATATCTTTGTATTCAGCTGGTTCAGACCTTTAGGCAGTACTTTCAGAAATCTCCTAACTATCAGGAAAAACACTATTCATCAAACAGAAATTGATTATATGAGTTATAAATTCAATAATAAATCTTAATTGAACTCAAGTTCAATTCGTCATATTGTTACGTTTTTCTCTGTGGGTTAACCAATAATTGACTACACTGAACAATAATCAAACTCAAATTTATTTCACTTTTGAATAAAAGAAACACTTCAACTAAAACTTCAACTATTACTCGAATGTCTATCGCCTTACTAGATCGCTTCGCGTACCGCACTGTAACTTATACTTGACTGTCTCGATGGGTGGGTGGATGGCTCTTATATTTGGCATTAGAAGGCGCCGGAATGTTCCTTGGAATTTCATCGAAGCCTGTAGCAACCTTCTAGAAGCAACGCCACGCCTGAAACGGCGGGGAACATAGAACATTCGCGCGCTCTTAGCTACGTCACAAAAGGTTTATGACTACCAGTGGTGGCCGGCGTTATTTTCTTTAGGGTGTGATTTATATCCCTATCTTTTCACATTAGTTTTATATTACAAATTGTTTCATACAAAAATAAATCATTAACCTCAGAGAACTGAAATCGGTGTCCTGATATCAAACAATTATTTTAATGAAATTATACGAGCTTATTTGGGGATCATTGTTGGGAACAGACTTGATACAATAATCATCAATTTCATTAAGATTCTTCAGAGATTAGGGGAGTTCGTGACGTTTTTGAGAAATAATATATAAGAAAAAAGAAATTTAAAAAACTTCAGATGAAATCGCTGAAAACTTAACAGAATACATGTATTTCGTGTCTTTTGGTTTCAATGCTCACCCTTACAGCCTTTCCCAAATCATTCTGCAGTAGTCCATTGGTATAAATCTTTCTTATAGCTTCTCCAGCAGTTTTTTTCTCATTAGCGTCGACAAGGTGCATATTTTTGTTAACTAGTCTTGACAGGTCATTTTCGTATGAAACAACAGATGATTGGAAATTTGCAACTAGAGCAAAACAGATTATAAAATATTCATATAACCTTCTTTCAATTTCTAATCAATTTAACTTGGCCTAGTTTGAAAAAATACAAAAACAAAACCATTTTTGACAAAAATGTATCCTTCTTGGAGGAATCAATATATACTGTAACGTATTAAATGATTAACTGTCTTAAACAAATTTATTTTTAACAATATTTCATTATCACAACTAATTTATATTCAACACTTAGGAACTGACGCTTAATTTATCTTCACTGTTCGAATTATTTGTTTACCGCTCGATTCGCTTTCTGAATTCATACCCCCTCTCTGTCTAGTCATCCTAATTTCATTCGGGTCGGAGCCTAGCTCCCCTATCCTTTAAACTGTATTTTGTCTGAAAGACAAATGGGTCATAACTGAATTTGTTATGGCGGAATGAATGTCCTCAGACATCAGTACCGCCCTTCGCGGTGTACCCCTACCTGGCTGGAGTGAGATGGATGAAGATATTATTCATGTGTTAATGGAGGACATGAGGGCCCCATTCGACAGAGTGTCGGGGCCTTCTATATCGAGAGAGGTCGTCTACAGCGTAATCTATAGCTTCCCTGACTAACGGGTTATCGTGAGTTTACCCCCTCTCTGAACGAGAAGCCGTCCTTTAATATTGGTAATGATCGCTCTAGATTCCTCTAGGGGTTTCGGTCCTCATCTATACTTTTCGCGGCGGTTCGCGGTGAGTCATGTATTTGCTGGCTGAGATATCGGTCAGGGCCGGCTTCAGATTCGTTTCAATACATTTTTTATTTCTGATTCAACTAATTACTGATCACTTACTGAAAACCGAGTTAACAATGCATCATTAACTAAAAACACTTCCATTTCAAATGGTAATGTAAGTTTCAAAATCATCTTGTAAATTTCCTCACCTGCTGCTCTAGCAATTGCTTCCTCTGAACAAATTCCCATCATAAGGGGAACCCTGTTCATGTGACCTTTTTCAATTGCCGGATACATCATTTCAGTAATGAACGCGTTTTCGTGGTCTGGCTCCACTACAGGAGTAAACCGGAAACCCTGTATGATTTGTTCGTTTCCAGTATTTTGCTAAAAAAACACAAGATGATTTGATCTGAATTCTTATTGATTAATATTAGTTTTTGAAAACCTTGAAGTCATTTGCAGCCTTATTAAGATCTGCAGCAGAAGCTCTCCTAAGAAATGTTAGAAGTTGCATCGAATCAGAGGACCTGTTGAAATTGCGATCTAAAGACGAAGCTACGTCATAAGCAATTTGCTTGTAATCTCTTTGGTAAGCCCATGGACTGATGATTGATCCACTCTGAGCTATGGCCGCTCTAAACAAACCTGAAATATAATAATACTTTCACATATTATATTATATTAAGAAAAAATATTTTTTGACATATTCACATTTGATGTTACTTCCCGTATCGCACCCATCAGAGCATGTCACCAATTTTTTCAAATGTTTCGCATAATCAGATATTCCATGATGAGCAGATTTCAACAAAGTATAGAACATATGGTCTGAAGCTTATGGTTCGGGAGCTACAAATTATTTGAGTTGAAAACGAGCCACCCTGAATAACATTTGGAACAATGACTTGCAGGAAAAACTATAAAAATGGTCCAAAATATTCGTTCTAGAGACGAATATGGCATCAATAAATCAGAAAAAGAGATTTTCATTAATCCTTGAATCAAAATCTGATGACTGGACAATGAGAAGAAAAAACATTTCTTTAGTAAATGTTCAGAAACGGTTCCACCAACTTCCATAAAATGGTACAGAGTTTCTATTGCCGCCTTCGCATGGTTGATAATCTCGGGAGTTATTTCTCTGCAATGCCTATATTCTCTCTCAAATCTTTTAATGTTGTTGATTCTATCTCATACACTTTTGACTTTGAATAACCCTATAGAAAGAAATCTACAGGAGTGAGATCCGAAGACCTTGGTGGCCATTCTGTACGACCTCTTCTGCCAATCCAGTGACCAGGAAAATGATCATCCAAAACTTGTCGCACTGGAGCGGCATAATCAGGAGGTGCACCATCCTGCTAAAATGCTATTTCGTTTTAGAATAAATTTATATCCTCCTCAATTCCCCTATTGATGCACGGTATTATTCGATTCTTCAACATATCCAAACATTTATCAGTAGTCAATTTGTCATCGATTAAAAAGGTCCTATGATGTGGTCACATTCCGTTTTTGAGGTCGTTCGATACGTATATCGAAATCATCTTCGTTTAATTCATGGACCACTCTAATCTTATATGAATGAAATTTGTACTTATGAAGGATCCTGAAAACATTTGTATGACTGATTCCTGATTCTGGAGATAACAGTACAAAGTTGATTTGTTCCTGTTTGCAAGTTCATTCAGTTCTTCATGGTATTGCCAGACCAGTTTTGATGTCACCTTCGGGTTTGTCAGAGCCCCTAGTGCGCTCTTGCTGTCTGTAAAAATATTGATCCGCTCATTTCTTTGAGGTCTCAATTTAATAAGCCTTGTACACTGCAAGATAGCATACACCTGAAAGACGGATGTGTATAGTCCTAGCGGATAGCTGTAGTTTAGATTTCTACCCGCTCGGTATATTTCAGCTAACGTTCCATGTTTTGGTCTTCGATCCATCTGTACACCAGGTGTTTTTTCCAAACATGTTTCCGAGATGACTAATGGTCTTTCACTCTTCACGGCTTACAATTTTGGCCGTGAAGTTTGTGTTAAAGGTGTACTTCGGTGTTATGTGGTCCGTGCACATATTCAATATGTGCTCCCCCACTTGTTCCGAAATTTCTGTTCGGTCCGATCTTTTGTAGTTCGGTGAGTTTTCTAGTCTGAATTGGCCTATCCTGTCCTCCCCTATTATCACAAATTGTAAAGGAGGTGGGAGGTAGTAAAGGTGTAAAGGTAGGAGAAGTGTCTCCAATGCAGCTGTTGGGGTACTTTTCATTGCTCCCGTCATTCCCAAACATGCAAGTCTTTGCACCTTGCCTAGTTTGTTGATGGTGGTCGCCTGCTTTATCTTTGGCCACCAGACCAGAGATGCGTATGTTATCATGGATTTAACCACCATCGTGTATAGCCAATATACCATGTCTGGTTTCAGCCCCCATGTTTTTCCATAGGTGCGTCTGGCGAGCATCAGTGCTACCTCCGCTTTCCTCTTTATCCTGTCCAAGGGTTGGTTCCAGGTCAGTTTGGAATCTAGGATTACTCCCAGATATTCCACCTCCCCCGACACTTGTATTTCTTCACCTCGAAGTTTTAGAGCTCCGAGACTTTTGGTGAATGCTACTATGGTCGATTTGGATGGGCTTATGTTAAGCCCTTCTTCTTCGGTCCATCTTGTTATAATGTTCAGGGCCTGCTGCATGCATCCCTTCACTACATTATTGTATTTACCCTGGACTGAGATAACTAAGTCGTCTGCATAGCCCAGTGCTTTATACCCATTGTGGTCCAAGAGAAATATAGTAGCTCGTCCATTACAAGGTTCCATAACAGAGGGGATAGAACCCCCCCTGAGGACAGCTTCTTGCTATCCGTGCCACGACTGTTTCCCTCATAATGGTTGTATATACCAATCTTCCCCTAAGCATGCAGTCTATCCACCTACAGCTTGTCTTGTCGATCCCTCTTCTCCTCGACAGCTGGATGATTGATTCTAACGACGTATTATCAAATGCGCCCTCAATGTCCTTGTTTTTGTAAGTATATTCTGCTTTTGCTGTTACCCGACATAGAGCCGTTTCTGTTGACATACCTGACCTGTATGCATATTGGTCTCGATGTAATGGTCTGATAGCCAGTGATACGTCCCTGATATGCCTGTCAAGTGGTTTTTATAGCGTTTTCAACGCAAATGTCATGAGACTAATTGGTCTCAAAGCCTTCGCCGAGTCCTGTTCTATTTTCCTAGGTTTCGGAATGAAGGTGGCCCTAATCAGTCTCCAAGTTTTTGGTATGTGTCCCAGTGCTAAGCTTGCCCTGAGAATTAAACACAAATTTTTAAAAAGTACTTCCGGTCCCTTTTGAAGCATTACTGGGTATATGCCATCAGGTCCCGGCAACTTATAGGGTTGAAATGAGTTTACAGCCCATTTAATTTTTTCCATATCTATCACCTTTTTTGTCATTTGCCAGTCCTCCCTGGATGCCCTTTTCGGGGTCTTCAGTTCTGACCCGGGAAAGTGTACCCGGAAAAGCTCTCTGAAAGTCTTATCTTCGGTTTTTGTATACTCCTCCGTATTTGTTTTCAAATTATTTATTGAGACCTGAGGTTCCTTCCAGAGTATTTTGTAGAGCCTGGCACATGCTTGGGTCTGTTCGACCTCCTCACATTGCCTTCTCCACGTATCTCTCTTGGATTTTCTCAGGATTTTGTTATACTCAGTTAGGGACCTTCTGTATTGGTCCCAATGAACCTGATTTCCTTGCACATAGAGATAACTTAGTAAGAGATTGCGAATTTTCCATTAGTCCAACGTGCCCTAAACCTGCAGTACAAATAGCTTCATCGTTGACAACTCCTGAACGGTTATGCTTTTAATTGTTAACAGATACAGTTTCCATACATTTGTTGAAGAATTCCGAAACGTATTTGTGTCGTACATTTTTTCCTAGATGATTATCCTTGAACATACGGCAAGCAGCTCTAGCACTATTTTCGTTCTGTTACGAGTAATACAAACTCACTATTTCGATCCGTTCTGGTAGTACAAAGTCACTATTTCAATCCATTCTCGAAGCGTATAAACTATTGCTTCTCAAGAATTCACTATAACAGAAACACCAATTGTAACTCCACCTGGTAATCGTTAGGTAGGTAGTAATCGTTAGGTAGGTAATTGTTATTGTAGAATGAGACAAATACAAAATGAAGAAAAATATCAAATTCAAACTTAACTGAGCAAAATAAGACTTTCTTGAAGTATACTTCACAAAAACACCTAGATAACAGATTGTACGGAAATTCATTCAGGGTGGCTCGTTTTCAATTCAAATAATTTTTAGCTTCCAAACTACGAGCTTCAGACCATAATGTATTCTAATTTGTTGAAATCTGTTCATCATGAAACATCTGATAATGCAAAACAATTGATCCGTTTAAAAAATGGTGACATGCTCCGGGGATGCGAAAGTTAGATTGAATGTAAATATGTCAAAATTTGTCCCCCTGTATACTAATGTTGAGGTGTTTTTCAATTATTCCTGAAAATCATCGTTCCGAAAGTTATTCAGGGTGGCTCAAATAATTTGTAGCTCCCGAACCATAAGCTTCAGACCATATGTTTTATACTTTGTTGAAATCTGCTCATCGTGGAGCATCTGATAATGCGAAACAATATAGGGTGATCCATTTAAAAAAATTGGTGACATGCTCTGGGGGTGCGGTAGGGGAAGTAACATCAAATGTGAATATGTCAAAATGTGGCCCCCTGTATACTATGGTTGACGTGTTTTTTTATTTTTCCTGCAAATCATTGTTTATACCAAAAGTTATTCAACATAGCTCGTTTCAAATGGAATTCACTGTTTTTCTAAACTGAGACACCATGTATTCCGTAACACTTTTGAATAGGTAAGAAAAAAATGAAATGATTCCATATGAGGTACTATGTACCTAACTATAACCGTTATCGAGTTAATGTTTTTGTTATGAAAATGCTAGGGTTTTTTACAAAAATCTGTTTTTTAAAATCTGTTTTTCCGTTAACCAGCTGTCGCACCTCTACGAACGACAACCCTCAGAAGTCGAAACTTGTGCGAGCTAAGGATTAACGAGGCGTTACTTTTCAACGTGTGATTCCTAACACGGTACAATTGAACATTATATAACATCGAAATGTACAAAAATCATCCCATCGAATTCTGACCAATGATAAAAGATTTTTTGGTCTATTTCTCCCTGACGTTTTGCTAGTGCGAATGGCTAGCTTCTTCAGAGGTTCATACAACCTGAGTTATCTTCGATGAGTGGATATTACGGCTGCGTAAAGTATATTTATGTTGATTCTGTTAGTTTGGTGTGTTAATTCCGGTTCCTAGATTAGGTAAATTGTCAATAACATTATTTGACCCTTTTCTACCTGCCGTCATGATGTTTGTTATTCAACCAACCGAATATGGAATCCCAACTTCTATCCACACTTCCAGTATCATTGGAGTTGAGTAGCTCAGAGTGAAAATACATTTCCAACACGAGTATCGTTCAGGTTGTTTCAGAATTTACTGCTTTCTGCGGAAATCAGAAGTTAATTTGAAAATTTCGTAAAAATATAGAATCGACTGCTTAGTTCAAACTACAGCTCAAACATTTGAAGAGGTTCATATTGAAATAAATTAAATTTTACTCAAAGGGTTGATGCGATTTCAATTCAATGAATTGATAAACTGGGTTTCTAGTCGTTTGGAATCAAATGAGCCACCATTATCAATTATATCAATTCCATTGCCCCATTATTCCAATTGATACTAATATCGTACAGCATCTGGTGAAGTACTCTTTTGTATTTGATATTGAGCAATTCCCTTAGTTCTGAATGGTAACAGTATACCCAAACAACTGAATAGAACTTACCAAATGCTCCCACTCTGTAATTAGCTGTAACGACGATGACTCCACTTTCCATCAAGTAATGTGGACCGAAGAAATCAAAATCACTGGCACCATTCACAAATCCTCCCCCATAAATATAAAATAATACAGGAAGATTCGCGTTACTAGATGGGTTCTGAAATAATTCAATTAGGTAAGGTCAACGGGGTAAGCTCAACAGATTTCTACACATTATCAAAAATGCAGGGAACTAACTAACAAAACAGATGATAATGCATACATAAATCAATAAAATATTACCACCAAATCAGTCTGATTTCAGATCTGGTTACAGCTCTTTCACAGCTTTAGCAACTATAACAGATGACATTTTGTAAGCCTTGGATGAAAGTGAGATGAGTGTTCTGGTATCGATTGACTATTCTAGAGCATTTAACACGTTAAAGCATCAAATATCAACTGCAATTTTAAATTTTATTGGTTTAAGTACTTCTGCTTGTTCTTTTCTCAAATCATATTTATCAACTCCTCAATCTTTCTAATGCTCATCATCCATCTATGTTATAATTCTTCTGTTGAATTATTTGGTAATAATACTCAGAATCATGATGCTTCGAGTGAAATACAAATAATCTTAGGAGCTGATATGTTGACTTTCATTGACAGCTGCAAAAATTTAGGTTTACTCATAGATTCTGAATTACGTTTT